CCAGGCTGTAATCCAAGCCATCAGACACAAATGGTGACATGATTAGGAAAAGGCTGTCTTTATAGTATCCATTCTGGACCAATCTGTAGCTTTTATGTGCACATTATCATTGCCCCTGAGCCATAATGGGCCTGAAATTGGAGACAGCATTCCACCTGAGTCATCATCCAAACCACTTTATAAAGCCATCGCCTATATATGTCTCTAGAGGCTCATTCAGTTACTCATAAGGCCCAACTTTTCTCAGCTTATGGGGAATATCAAAATCATGGATACGGATGTTCCTATTAATACCATTTAAAGTAATTCTGTTTTTATAGTCACCAAAAAAATCCCTTGACACATTAAACATAACAAATTGAGCAACAACACAAACAGTTCTGTATCTCGGTAAGGGTCTTTTCTCTTCCTTTTTCACCTAATTGTATCCTAACCCTTTCATGTCTTGGCAAAAGGCAAATATCAGTATTTTGCCAGAATGGTGTTATTTTAAGCAGAAAAAAAAGGACCATAAAAGCACAAATAAGTCTTGGGGGAAATAAAAGAGTTTTTTTTTTTTAACTAAATCACCATCATATCAAATATAATTTAGGTGTAACTGTTCTCAGCTCTCCTCCTCCAAAGCCCATAGCTGGAGAATATACACTCTTCTCATTTTTTCTCAGGCTTTAAGGATTGTTTGATCGTTACCAGAGAAGTTTCTGGACTTTTACGTTGGAGAAATGGAGGATGGGCAGAAGAAGGAGCAGTTGGTAAAGGGAGAGCTGAAGCGCTTAGGAGGATGGGAGTTAAATCAGCCTAAGCAGGAGAGAACAGGAGAAGGAAGAACCAAAAGTTTCTCAGCCGAGGTTGGAGGGGCAAACTGGGGAGAATGTGATGAAGAACAAGAGGGCCTGTTGGAAGGGAGAGAATGAGAACACTGGAAAGAAGAGAAGGAAATATAAGAGAAATGTGCTGGAGGGATGTATTTCATCAGAATTATCCCCTCTCTTTCTCTCCTCCCTTCTTCTTTCCTCTCCTTTTCTCCTCTCCTCTCTTTTTCACTTTTTCCTAAGACACAGTTTTGTAGAAAGATTTAGCTCCTTAAATCTGGGAGCCAAATATAAGTAATGTTCTTTCTACTTGTTTGGAGGAAAGATGGTTAAAAAAAAGAAAGGAAGGAAGAAATGTGGCAGGAAAGAGATAAAAGCAGGAAAATTATCACATGTATAGTTAAAGATTTTGCCTCTTACCATTCAAACTCTTTTACTGTATAAACATTGCATTTTTTTCTAAAACCTGAGAGAAGTCATGTTCTTGCTCAGTGATATTGAATAGCTCTATGTGTGAGAACAGAAACAAGATGCAACAGCTCAGCATGGAAATGGAAGACACCCAGGGATCAGGACTAAACTTATCTGATATTCCAGCTCATCTCTCTTCATGCTCCTCTGTTTATGGATCAGTCATGTGGGCTTGTTCATTATTCTCCAACACACAAACTCTTCCGCACCTTATTGTTATCTTCTCAGCTGAAAATTCCTTTCTCTTCTTCTTATTAATTTATTAAACAGTAATTTATTTTGCACATTGTATGTATCCATGGTTCTGGATACAGGGACAGTCATTCTCACTGAGAACAAATGTTCAATCTGCCACTTTCCAAAATTGCTTTTGAAAGTGTATTGTAACAATTGTAAAATAATTGTAATAATACTATAATATACTATCTTAGCAAGAATCCTTAAAAACATTTAATCCTGCAGTAATTTTTTTTTTTTTTTGACACAGGGTCTTGCTCTGTCACCCAGGCTGGAGTACAGTGGTGCCATTTTGGCTCATTGCAAACTCCAGCTCCTATGCTCGAGCAATCCTCTTACCTCAGGCTCCCAAGTAGCTGGGAATACAGGCATGTGCCACCAAGCCCCACTAATTTTTGTGTATTTTGTAGAAATGAGGTTTAGCCATGTTGCCTAGACTGGTCTAGAACTCCTGACCTCAGGCAATCCACCTTCCTTGGCTTCCCAAAGTGCTGGGATTAATAGCATGAGCCACAAAGCTTGGCCCTGTAGTGATTTTATTCACCTCTCATCTTCCCTGCATTTCACACAAAGCCATGCCCACAAAACACATACAGATAGTGCTTTGTTGTGGAAAATCATTGTCTAGAGTCACACAAATGACTCTGCTTCTGTCTTGATCTGTGAGCAGTTCTACCACTGGAAAATCTGTACAGGTTATATCATTAGCAAAAATGAATTAGTTCTCATTCAGTTTTGAAATTCTAATAAATCTACACAATAATTGTATGCATATATTTGAGAAGATTCCTACATACATCCTTATTTACTATATACCTTAAATATTAATAGAATTTAAAGATTGTGATGCAGACTGCTATAATTATTAATTAAAGAAAAGAAGACTGTCTTTTCAGTTGAATAACTAGGACAACAAGCATATAATGAGGCTTGAAAGAGTAAAAAGTATTGACTAACTTTGGTCTAAACATGTAGGCAATGCATCGATAAGGTGAATCATATGCCTGAACAAACAAATCTAACTATCTGGTAGGCTGACCAGGAATGGAAGTCTGGTCATTGGGCTTGCATAATGATTGCCAAGGAGTGGTTGTCTTTTAGTGATCAGAGAAAGAAAACCCATTCATGTGCCAAATGCAATTCTAAATCAATTCTTCAGTTTGCTGCTTAAATGTAAAGTAGTCAAAATACTAGTTGATTAAGCACTTAATTTTATGATGCAGTATTCTTGAGAAAGAGGAACTTAATTATATCAGAGGCATAATGCTAAACAATGATTCTCCTTTATAGTCTACTACTAATAAAGGCAAGGGTTATTCAAAGAATGAGCATGAATAAAAGTGTTATTAATTCTGAAAGAATTACATAAAATACAGGAAGCATATTCTTAACCACATCTTTGGTCAATGGCAATATATACATTTCTGTCTTAAAGACAAAAAAAGAGAGGGACTCAAAATATACTAATAACAGTGTACCCACTTCTATTTCCCCCAAAATGCATGAGTAATTCTAAAATCTGAGTAGGTGTTAGCTATTTATGAGTGACATGCAAATAATTACTAGAGGTTCTAATAAAGGGTGTTTTTTAAAACAATTATTTAAGCATTGATTAAAATAGATAAATTAAGAATTATAAACAGGGCTGGGCACAGTGGCTCATGCCTGTAATCCCAGCACTATGGGAGGCAGAGGCTGGTGGGTCACCTGAGGTCAGGTGTTCAAGACCAGTCTGACCAACATGGAGAAACCCCATCTCTACTAAAAATACAAAACTAACTGGGTGTGCTGGTGCATGCCTGTAATCGCAGCTACTTGGCAGGCTGAGTTAGGAGAATATCCTGAACCCGAGAGGCCGAGGTTGCTGTGAGCCAAGATTGCACCATTGCACTCCAGCCTGGGCAACAATAGAGAAACTCCATGTGAAAAACAAAGAAAGAAAAAGAATTATAAGCAGTTTAGTGTACAGTCCTCTATTCGTCCATTCTCACACTGCTGTCAGAAATATCTGAGACTGGTAATTTATATGAGAAAGAGGTTTAATTGACTCATAGTTCCATAAGGCTGGGGAGGCCTTCAGAAACTTATACGGTCATATCAGAAGGCAAAGGAGAAGCAAGTACCTTCTTCAAATGGCAGCAGGAGAGAGAAGAACATGTAAGAGCATGGAAAACCGTCTTACAAAACCGTCAGACTTCCTGAGAACTCACTCACTGTCATGAGAACAGCATGGGGAAATCACCTGCTATGATCCAATCACTTCCCACTGGGTCCCTCCCTTGACATGTGGAGATTTTGGGGATCACAATTTGAGATGACATTGGGATGGGGACAGAGTGAAACTATATCAAGTTCAAACGTAAGAGATAAGATTAACCAACTGAGGATTGATTGGCTGGAAGAAATCCCATTTATAAAGCAATTATTTATTTTAAAAAATAAAATAGAGATATCAATACATGCCATTTTTGTTTCATAGCAATGTACTAGAGGTGAAATTTGAAATTTTCTTTAAAATTTTAAAAACAGATTGTTTAGATATATATTGTGGCATTTTCAGTAAAATCATATTTGGTAAGTGGGGTTATGATTTTTTTTAATGTCTTACTTTCATAAAGACAAAATTCTCACTATATCCATATAACTGTGAGTGATTGGGAATTAAAAAAGGAAAACTTATTTCATGAGAAGGAATGAAAAAGGAGAAAATCTATTACAAATATTTCCAATAGAAAACACAATATGTTATGTTTAGCAGCTCAATAGTTTGTTAGTTTCAGAAACTCATTAGTTTATGTCAACAATTATGAACTAAAAGCACAAAACAAAACACTATACGACTAATGTAAGAAAGATAAAATACTAAAGTAAAAATGTATACTTCTTAATGAGAAAGAACAAACTCTTGTTTTTTTAAGTGCAGCTAAAAAGACCATTAAAATGTAAACTTTACCTATGAAGAGTGCCTGAGCAAGAATCTACAACTAGAACAAGAAAGTGAGAGATTATGCAACTGGTCTTTGAGAAAGTACAAATTGTAATTTACAATGCATAACTCTGAGATGCAGGGGAAAAAGAAACACAGTAAACGCAGCCCTTTAAACCACCCTCCTATGCTTCTAACATAACCCAAGAAGAGAGTTTTGTCTTCAAGAGACCCCTCTTTCCACAGATGCCTTCATAGGAGAAGATGGCAATCCCTCTAACAGTACTAGAAGTGACTAGAACTGGCATGTCGTGGCTGCTGCTTCTCACCAGCATAGACAGACTTTCAGCAATTAAGGCAAAGCATCCTGCTGAAAAATCCCCTGGTGAAGTGATTTAGGCTTGACAGACATGCTCCAAAATACATATTCTCTTAAACTCACATTGATAATACCACTTTTCTTAATTCCAGAGTTCTCAATTCTATAAAATTTCAGAGTTGAAATCTAGAGCAAACCTCTTGAACATCAGCATATTTGTTTATAAACAAAGTACCATGTCATCCATCTTCTTTTTCTTCCCTCTACTCGTCACATCTTTTTTTCATTCTCTCCCCATGTCTTTCTGCAAAAGTCTGTTGATACTGGCAGTGTTTCTGTATGGGTCTGCATCCCCCTCAATTCTTGCCTCCTGAGAAGAAAGAATTTAACTGAGAGTCATAAGGCAGAAAGAGACTGAGGGAAGTTTTAGAGCAGGAGTGAACATTCGTCAAAAAGTTTAGAGCGGGAACAAAAGGAAATAACGTACACTTGGAAGAAGGTCAAGCAGGAGACTTTAGACTACGGTCAAATGCCCTGTTCGACCTTTGACTTAGGGTTTTATGTGTTGGTATACTTTCAGGGTCTTCCATCCCTTCTGCCTCGATTTTTCTATTGGGGTGGGCTGCCCGCATGCACAGTAACCTGCTAGAGCTTGGGAGGGGTGCATGCACAGTGTTCACTGGAGTTGTATGCATGCTCAGTTGAGGTGTTGTTTCCTTACCAGTCAAATGTCTCTAGGAAGTCGTATACCAGTTAAACTCCACCATTTTGTCTCTTAATGCACATACTTGAGCCCATTCATCCAACTCCTGAGATTTTGTTGTTGTTGTTGTTTTGTTTTTTTTGTTTGTTTACTTGAGACGGAATTTCGCTCTTGTTACCCAGGCTGGAGTACAATGGCGCGATCTCGGCTCACCGCAACCTCCGCCTCCTGGGTTCAGGCAATTCTCCTGCCTCAGCCTCCTGCGTAGCTGGGATTACAGGCACGTGCCACCATGCCCAGCTAATTTTTTGTATTTTTAGTAAAGACGGGTATCACCATGTTGACCAGGATGGTCTCGATCTCTTGACCTCGTGATCCACCCGCCTCAGCCTCCCAAAGTGCTGGGATTACAGGAGTGAGCCACCGCGGCCAGCCCCAACTCCTGAGATTTTACAGAGAAGCTGCTGATCACCAGTTTCAGGTTTTTACAACTGTTGGGTAACGGCCTTTGCCTGGCACTGGCTGTGACCAATTATTATTTTAGAGTCAGTTAACAGTTGCCTGCCCATCACCTGATAGTCGCCTGACATTGCTGGTGATGTATCATTGGCCAAAAGGAGTCAGTTGCTAAATGCAATCCATACAATTCTCTAGTAGAAATAAAATACATTAGCATAAAAATATAATTAATGCAAAAATATAAAATAAATACGAAACTATGAGATCTATACAATATGCATATATCACACTTAGATTTCTATTCAAGTTGATGTTCCATTACACAATATTTTCCTGAAAACTTGTATGTAAACAGTTCAGTGTCAATTTTTGCAAACTTTTACATAAATTGTACATAAACCTAAACCATTTCTTATATGGGGGTATGAAAGTAAGTTGTTTAGTATATGAAGTTAAGATTTTCTGAAGTCAAGACTCAAGATTTACGCAGACACTAAAAACATCATTCATTGCTTTTTTAAAATGTAGACATTTAAAATATTTTCATAAAGCAATGCACACCTAGAAAGTCAAAATTAAATAGAAGTTGAATAATTGATAGATTTATTGACAGTATCATCTAGAAGAAAATAATTAACTGTCTTGCCTAAATAATCTCTCCTGGCTTTTTGAGGGCTTGGGAGTTTGGGGCATCAGATGTGGCATTTGAGAGCTGTCTCATTTATCTTAGCTACAAGAGCACTATGTTTAGAACCAGCATTCTTTGTTGAAGTTGCTTGAGTTCCTCTTGCTGAGATATGACACATGCTCGTTTGTGCTATCCAAATTTGCAAGAAAATTGCTCATTGTGGAACCATTATCATCAGTATTGTGGCTTCTCTGATTCACATTTAGCCAGTGTAAACTTTCAATCACACTTCTTCTTTCCAAATATTTTACTGTACTTGTCTTGCCTCAAAAGGATTATTCATTGCTCTTTCGCTTTTTGCTTAGTTGTATTCTCTGCATATGTTTAATAAAGGTCTACATATTGCACTTTAACTTCAAAACTTCTGATACAACATGAAACTCATGAGCAATTTCCATTTCCAGAAATAGCAAAGCATCCTTTTGAGATGTTGTTAAAGGCTGCTTTAATATAGCATGTGTTTATTTAAACTCAGTGCCAAATAGCTCCTTGGTGATGGTTTCTGCTTGTAGCCAAAGGTTGAATAGGCCATGGAGTATAATTCTAAGAGTGAAGGAGGTTGTACTGTGACAAGTCTAAAGCTCTCTAGGGAAGGAAATGTTAGCAAGCATATACTTCTCCTTTCAGGAGTAAGAGTCTCATCTTCATTTCTCATCATTGGGCCATTAGGTTTGTCAAATTCTAATACATTGTTAAGGTTCTATAGGGAACCAGATATTAATGCCTCATTTCTCCTTTCTGGGATGAAGAAATGTATATAGTCATATCTCTTAACATCTGACATGACACACAACCTGGACAGAAAAAAGAGAATAGCCCATGCATAAAAACTAAAAGGTAAGATTTTTTTCTATTCTCATACAATAATTCACTTCAATTTTGGAGAATAGAGAAAATAATACCTTAACCTTACAGAAAGGAGTGAAAACCCAAATACACAGTATAAATATTTTTGAATGCATGCCCACACACATACACAAAATTGCTGGAAAAAAATAAGAAGAAAATAAATTTTGCAAATATTATCAATTAAAGACTTGAATGAATTATGACCTAAACATTTAAAAAATGTTCCACAGGGCCAGGCGCGGTGGCTCACGCCTGTAATCCCAGCACTTTGGGAGGTCGAGGCGGGTGGATCACGAGGTCAAGAGATCGAGACCTCCTGGTCAACATGGTGAAACCCTGTCTCTACTAAAAATACAAAAAATTAGTTGGGCACGGTGGCGCATGCCTGTAATCCCAGCTACTCAGGAGGCTGAGGCATGAGAATTGCCTGAACCCAGGAGACGGAGGTTGCGAGGGAGCCGAGATCGCGCCATTGCACTCCAGCCTGGGTAACAAGAGCGAAACTCCGTCTCAAAAAAAAAAAAAAAAAAAAAAAAGTTCCTCAATTTATAAGCGAAGTAAGAAGAAAAATATTTCTCCCTTTTTTTTTCTTCTCTCCCTCTTTTTCCCCTACTTAAAAAAGTACTGAATTGGTTGAATGCTTTTATTTAAATATCTTATCGGAGCTTAAGCCTCCTGACATTCATCTTGGCAAAATCGTGTGCCTTCAGCGACAGTGAGTGCTCCCCTTCTCTGTCCCCTGACTGATTTGCATGCTGTCTCTGGTGTCCCCAGCAACAGGTGTCTCATTAGCACCTGAGCGATGCCAGCTTCTGAGGAAGGCTGTGAACTGATTAAACACATGCTCCATTTTTATCTCTTTATGAGTCATTACTTAAAGCTTTTATCACCAGATTGCCACACTTAATTATGTGCAGCCATAATTAAATATGAGCATTCTTAGGTCTGCTTTTTAAAATTGTAGTTTAAACTTCAGTGACATGTTTTGCCATTTGCTAATTTAAAGCCATTTTTAAAAGAGCAGTAGAAGGTGCTTTGTTGAAGGGGGCATAGTAGGGGAAGGTTTTTATTCTTTCATACACTGGGTTATATAATTTTTCTTAATTTCAAAAAAATCTACACTGCATGTAAAGGTTAGAGAGAATCATCAGAAGCAGGGGCAATTAAACTAGAGTGTGCTAAGTTTGTCTTTATGGGTGCAGGAAACTCTGGTATTGCTTGCCTTATAAATTACAATTTAGCTAGGATTCTAGGAAACCTCAGGCAAAAATCAGACAATTATCTGAATTCTCCCTTTTCCTTGTCTTCTGAAGACATCTGTTAATCGGATGAGGACAACATAAAACAAAATCATCCACGTTATCAAGAGGATTACGAATCAATATTTTATTTTTCTTCTGACATATTTCTATTATCCATTTCAGCCAAAATTACTTGGCTAAAATAATTTCATGTTTTGTTTTTTGCTCTGGTCTCCTTCATACTCTCTTATAACTCAGGGCTGAATTAGAGTCCCTCTTCTTATTTGGTAAACCATGGAGCAATCAGAAAGTTTGGTTATATTGTCATGCTTATCTGTGGCCTCTCCAGGACACTCCCATAAGTTCATGGATCTTTCAATATTCTCCAAATTCTGATCACCTACTTGCCATAAACAATTTCATCATTCGTCTAAGAACATGTACCCCTTTCTGCTCTAACTCCCGTCGCTACCCTAGGATGCTGGGAAAATACAGCCACCCTATCCCTTTCTTCCTGCCTCCTAGGAACAAACATGCCAGATTTATGCAAGCTATACAAGCTATACAAATTTCTTTACCTGAGATTTAAGGCAAATCATACTGGGAAGTATGAAAAGAGAGGGCAGAACTTTTTTTTTTGAATGTTAACGTGAGAAGACACCTAAAATCTGAGCATGCTGTGAGGACATTTTGGAAGATCTTCTAATTAGCACACCCACATCCCAAGCACCACTTTTTTTTTTTTTGAGACTGAGTTTCGCTCTTGTCACCCAAGCCTGAGTGCAATGTTGCAATCTTGGCTTACTGCAACCTCTGCCTCTGGGGTTCAAGCGATTCTACTGCCTCAGCCTCCCGAGTAGGTGGGAATACAGGCACCCACCACCACACCCAGCTAATTTTTGTATTTTTAGTAGAGAGGGGGTTTCACTATGTTGGCAGGCGATGCTGGTCTTGAACTCCTGATCTCAGGTGATCAGCCCACTTGGGTCTCCCAAAGTGCTGGGACTAAAGGTGTGAGCCACTGTGCCTGACCCACGCCCCTCATTCTTTGAGGCTTACAGACTGAACTCCATCCTGCTTTGTGGGAAAATTTCCCTTGTCTCAGAAAGAGATCTCACTCTGGATCTCTCCAGGGTGGTCCAAGTTCAGGAAGTGTCCTGACTGTCAGCCAGATGGAATTGTTTCTTCTGGTTTATCCTTGTAGGAGACAAGAGAAGAGTCTCAAGGGTGATGGAGGACAGACTATAACACATAAACAGGAGTCCAAGTGCCTCTTTCTTTCTTTTCTTTCTTTCTCCTTCCTTCCCTCCCTTCCTTCCTTCTTTCCTTCTTTCTCTTTTTCTTTCCTTCCTTTCCTTCCTTTCTTCCTCCCTCCTTTCCCTTCCCTCTCTTCCCTTCCCTCCCCTCCCTCCCTCCTTCCTTCCTCTTCCTCCCTGTCTCTCTTTCTCTCTTTCTTTCGACAAAGTCTCCCTTTGCCACCCAGGCTAGAGTGCAGTGCCACAATCTCAGCTCTCTGAAACCTGTGCCTCCCAGTTCAAGTGACTCTCATGCTTCAGGCTCCCAAGTAGCTGGGACTACAGGCATGCACCACCACACCTGGCTAATTTTTATCTTTTTTGGTAGAGACAAGGTTTTGCCATGTTGGCCAGATTGGTCTCAAACTACTGACCTCCCGGGATCCACCAACCTCAGCCTCCCAAAGTGCTGGGATTTCAGGCATGAACCGCTGTACCTGGCCTTAGCAGGTTTCTTTGCTCATTGACCAACTATGACAATTTGGATACTTTGTTTTGAAGATTTGAAAATAGAAATAAAAACAAGACAAAACCAAACACAGAGCCTCTCAACCATAACTGGATTCAGAAAATTAAAAAGAAAAAGAAAAAGAAATAGACTGCTTCCTAGGACTCGCTTCAGCCACGGCTTGATAGAAGGGTATCAACATCAACAGGACCTTCAGGGTTTCCTTCTATTTCCCAGTTTCCTTTCAAGTAGCCCCTCCTGGGCTTAGTGCGCTGAAAGCGTAGAATGGTTTCCAAAGAAAAATTGCAGCAGATGGAGTTAAGCAGGCAAGAAGGACTTCCCTCAGTTCTGTTGCAATAGAGGAGAGAAATTGAACTCAAATCCTCTGGAAGGCAGCAAGGGTTTTAAGTGCTGGAATGAACTAGCGGAAAACCACTGGTGAACTTTTGAGAGGGGGATGGTCAATGCCATTAGGCCGTCTGTGCTTCTAACTGGCACTTAGAGGAGTTAGCATCCTACCTTCCCAGGGAGATTGGGAGCTAAGGGCTCTCTCTTTCTTAGTGATTGAAATAATTACATTTCTAAAGGATGGCTTCCAGGTTCTTGAGAAATAGGGTGCAGGGTTGCAAAACTGGCAAGAGGCTATCAGAAGATTTACATTTCAAAAGGGCAGAGAAAGAATGTGATATTGAAAGCTTTCCAAAGTAAATGCTGTTGAGGGAAGGTGTTCTCTTTTTGGGTCCGTGAGGGGACGAAGCTTTAAGGGCAAGAATTTGTCCTCCTCCCATCTCTTTCTCTCAGGGAAATTCAACGGTTTATGTTTGAATTTTGCGGGCGCGGGAAGAAACTGAAATTCAATCACTCCAGCGGAAGTTCTAAGGAACTCCTTTCATTGGCCCAGGGTCTTGGAGAAGGTGGGGGTTTCTCCCAGGGTAAAAGTGCGTGCTCCCTCACCTGCGCCGCATTTCCAGCTTTCTAGAATCCCCTCCCACACGGTGGGAGCTCCCTCCAGGATTTCCCCTCTGGAATCCCCTTCCACACTCTTCGTGGAAGCCTTTTTCTTCTTCTCCTTTGCTTCTCTTTTCTCTACCTAAATAAAATCACTTTTCTGCAACTCTGTTTTAGGTCTGAAATTTTACTTTGCAAGCACTGAACCTGTAAATCAACCTGCACCCCTAAAAGGCTACCCCCCTGGAGGAAACCTCAACTGCTGCCCCTTCTATGCCCCATTTCAGTAGGAAGTAGGCAATCAACGCCCCTATTCCAATAGAAGTTAAATTTTCCTGTTCAGAGGAGGGGAATGAGGGAATGAGTTCTCTTACCGGGTCCACGAGGGGGCGTAGCTTTAAGGGCAAGAATTTCCCAGCGCCATTCCCCCGTCCCATCTCTCTCCAGCCCTCTCCATCCGGGAAATTCAACGGTTTATGTTTGAATTTCGGGGGCGCGGGAAGAAACTAAAAGTCAATCACTCCAGCGGAAGTTCTAAGGAACTCATTTCATTGGCCGAGGGTCTTAGAGAAGGTGGGGATTTCTCCCAGGATAAAAGTCCGTGCTCCCTGACCTGAGCCCAATTTCCAACTTTCTGGTATCCCTTCCCACATGGTGGGAGCTCCCTGCGGGATTTCCCCTCTGGAATCCCCTTCCACACTCTTTGTGGAAGCCTTTTTCTTCTTCTCCTTTGCTTCTCTTTCCTCTACCTAAATAAAATCACCTTTCCGCAACACTGTTTTAGTTCTGAAATTTTACTATGCGAGCATACGGTGCAGCTGAAAGTGGCCCCACTGCTTATTATTTAAAAGGTTAGAGGCCGGCTGGGCGCGGTGGCGCAGGCCTGTAATCCCAGCACTTTGGGAGGCCGAGGCGGGTGGATCACGAGGTCAAGAGGTCGAGACCATCCTGCCCAACATGGTGAAAGCCCGTCTCTACTAAAAATACAAAAATTAGCTGGGCATTTGGCACATGCCTGTAGTCCCAGCTACTCTGGAGGCTGAGGCGGAAGAATCGCTTGAACCCAGGAGGCGGAGGTTGCAGTGAGCAGAGACTGGCCACTTTGCTCCAGACCGGTGACAGAGCAAGACTCTGTCTCAAAAAAAAAAAAGGTTAGAGGCGAAGAACCACAACATCCAAAAAAAAAAAAAAAAAAAAAAAACAACCCGGTTACACTCTGAGAAAGGGAGACCAGCGATCTATAGCCAGGAAGAAACCTGAGTTTAAATCAAGCTGAGATATTAAGGTTGTCTTGTTCAGGTCGAATCTCCAAGTGAGAATCAGAGGCTTCGGAATAACTTTTATCAAAAACATAAGCAACCGAGCGTTAACCAATAACCACACTTTCTTAGTAGTGATTAGTCTATTTTCTAAGCCATTATTGTCTACGTTCATTGTCTACTTTCTTGAACTCTTGACCTCAGGTGATCCACCCATCTCGGTCTCCCAAAGTGCTGGGATTACAGTCGTGAGCCACCGCGCCCATCCTCATAATCTACTTTCTAAGGCAATATTGTCTAAGTCCATACTGTGAAAAAATAGTTGGCCCAAGAGCAAGCCTCTTGCTATGTCATTAGGAATAATGTCTTCCCATTATTGTATGGGGCACATTTGGTTCTTTCCTATTCACCTTGTAAGTGGTGGCATCAAATACCAACATCAGGTGCAAATGATATGCCTTTGCTCCTCAATGCACAGAACATGACATGTTAAAAAAACAAAACTAAATCAAATGAAGTTGGCCTGGGTACCATCTTTAATTTAGGTAAGCCCAGATACTTTGGAGAGGGTCTTTGGTCTTTTATCCCTTGTGGTGACTTTGCTTATTGCTTCGGATTCACTGTCATCATTATTTACTAAAATCATTCAGCTTCATTTCTTTCTGTGCTGATTTTGGATGCAAAGATTTTGATCAAGTCTCTTGGGGCTTACTTTTTAGATAATGCATGTATCTTCACTACTTGAGGGGCCCCTCCCTCTAAGGTATTACTTTTCCTGTCTTTGAGAAGTGATCTTTCTCCATATTGCGTCACTTATGTCTTCTAATCCTACCAGATTTATTCATGACCTTACAAGTATGTTGCAGCCTAATTCCTTAAAACAGATGCTGATGTGAAGAAATTACATGTTTAAACGAAAGGGTTGGTTATCCTTCCATGTAGGGAAGGGGAAGGGACAGGTTATTATTATTATTACTATTTCATTTCATTAAGGTCTCTGTACCATTGAGGACAGAACAGAAATTAGTACTTCTATAAGTTAACCTGCTACATAACTTTTAATGCCTTCTCTCTCTTTTACACAGGAAATGAGTCTGGCTTTAATTTAATTATTTTGAGTTACATTTTTTTGTCTGAAAGAAGTGGGTGGGATGGGATGTGGTGGAGAGGAATTTCTTACACCACTTATAGGGATGGGATTACACAGTTTATTTTGCATTTAAGTAGGATCATTTCATCCCGCTGGATTTGAATTTTAGTGTCCCTTTCTATGAATTTAGTTTTTGTCATGTAGACTAAGTGTGTTGGCAAAAGAATAAAGACAGAGGTTAATCTGATGGAGTTCTAACACTATCTAATTCTTTCTGGAGACACTTGTTTGCAGGCCTCAGAGAGATGTACAGGGCAGGATTTATAAAAATAAAGTACTCAGGAAAAAGAGAATGTGAGAACAAGTAGGGGATTTAGTTGAAGAGTGAAGAAAAAACATTAAGAAAGGAAATCATAGTATTTATAAGGAAATGTTCCAGATGTTTTGAGAAAAAAGTAAACAAATGAAGCAAAAGTGTATTAGTGGTAAGAAAGATGGACTAATGATCAAACAGCTGGTGAAAATAACAAGTGAGAAAAAGTGATTTGAGTGTGTGTTTGGAAAAAGATTTTATAAGACTGTGAATAGGACGGGCTAAACTATGTCCTTTTTAGCTGTTTGTACCACATCAGCTATAATTGCATTCTGAGTGTAAAATAATTCAATGGCCGATTATTTTTCCCGGACTATAGTTAGTACCCAATAAATGCTTATGGAATAAAAGGTACTTTTAAATTTACCTTCGATTTTTTAATATTTGTTAATAGATTTTTAAAATGCCAATCTCATGTTTTAATGATACCGTTATTATGTTTTAACTTAAAGCAGGAATGGCAGACTTTGGAATCTCAGAAAATATACAGGAAATTTATTTTTTATAGCATGTAATTTATTTAAAGAACATTTTTTACACATGGTATCATTGAGGTAAATATGGGGGATATCCAGATGCCTATTGTTGGTTACAAACAATTCTCCTCTTTCTGCCCACATCTGGAGGTTTTTCAAGGAAATTTTTTGAAAAACAAAGTATGATAATTCAAATTCTTGTTTATTTATTAAGAATTTATGTAAAAGGAAGCAATCTGAGGAATTCACATATTCACATTGCCTATGCTTAGTTCTTCTTCTCTTTTTTTTTTTTTTTTTTTTTTTGAGACAGAGTCTTGCTCTGTCACCCCGGCTGGGGTGCAATAGCACAATCCTGGCTGACTGCAACCTCTGCCTCTGTGTTCAAGGGATTCTCCTGCCTTAGCCTCCCGAGTAGCTGAGATTATACGCACCCGCCACCACGCCCAGCTAATTTTTGTATTTTAGTAGAGACAGGATTTCACTGTGTTGGCCAGGCTGGTCTCAAACTCCTGACCTTGTGATCTACCCACCTCGGCCTCCCAAAGTGCTTAGATTACAAACATGAGCCACAGTGCCTGGCCTGCTTATTTCAAGTATAGGCAACCTTCAGAACATATGGAGGCTTCAGAATATGGAGCCTTCAGAACATGTCAGATCTTAGAGGAAAGAAAATTTGACTATGTGAAGTTAAGAAGTTTAAGTCTGAGGAGGCCTCCATATTGAGTCCTTACCTGCCGAATTCTGATCTTGCTTAATATGTAGACTAACAGGAAAAGCCTTACTTAGGAGTCCTCAACTCTTGAATCAAGTGGCTGAGTCTTAGTCAATCACAGCAGCTGAGCCTCAATCAATCACAAGTGACCAGATGATTAAAATAAGGCAAAACACCGAGCTGTAACCAATTAGGCCGTATTTATGCATCACCGCCATTTTCTGTCCACAAATATCATCTGGCCACCTTCAACTCTGGAGTTCTTAGATCTTGTTCCAATTCTGAGGGCTATCTGATTCTAGAATCACGAATAAAAGCCAATTAAGATCTTTAATATTATTGTAATTTTGTTTTTTGATAGCCCTACTGACTCGGGGACACTAGTGGGAGCCAAGTGTCTTCTGAAATTGTTTTCCTATTCCAAAGGCTTCTCGAGTAAATGTTTAATGTAACATTATTATTGTGTCTGTTTTGCAGCAATATTTTTTTCCGAGATATTTTCTATGGTTTGTGGTTCTTTATGGTATATATTTATCTACAGAGAAAAATATCCCAGTGAGTGCTTAATTGCCAATATTTTAGTTTTAAAAGCTACTGGAAATAATCTGATATCTATATTTTTAAATGGCTATAGAGGGTGTCAAGTATATAACATTGATACAGAATTATTTTAAACTAGTGAAAGAAAAGCATAAAACTTTTCTAACAGTGAAGAATTAAAGGGCGTGTTAAGTGTCTCATATGTGGGTACAATTCTATAACTTTTTTTTTCTGCTGTTTTTACTTTTTTGCAATGCTACTAGAGAAAACAAAGATAAATAATGCCAGAATTAAGTTTCTTAGGAGATTACAATTTGGAGTAGAGATGGGCAAATACGAAATAAGCACAATACATGCTGGTAACAAGTAAAGGTTATTGGACTGAGTCTCTCACAGATAATCATTATAAACTAAAAAATATTAGAAAGCAAAACCAAAACTTGGTGCCACAGAGCAGACAAATGCAGGTAGATGAGGGCAGAAGGCTGCTGGCAGAAGATGAGGATGACCATAGTGAGTTTCTGGCTTTCACAGTTTTTCTATGGCAGATTTAGCTGCCATGGAAAACCCGCTGTGTTTAGGGCTTTATAAAGCAATAGCAGAGTTGAGGACAACTGCCAGCTTTGGAAAGTTAGAGCAGAAATGCTTGAGAGAAGAGAGCAAGCGCAAAGGAGCTCCACAAAGCTGTCTCTAATCAGCCTAGCTAGGGATAAATGAACTTAACTGATGACTGAGGTGTTGTTTTTGCTGTCAGGAGAAATTCAGATATATGCCATTTATTATATGAGTCCAGAATAGTGGCTAGTACATAGTTAGTGCCTATAATAATTAGACAATATTTGTTAAATAATAATTAGATGTATTTGTTGAATACTTAGTATGTCAACAAGCTTGAAGGCAGATCATTTTCCGTCAGACAAAAAGCGAACAAAAAGACTTAAAAGAGAGAAGGAGCACACTATAGTGTAAGCTCTGTCACAGAGTGCTGTGTGAACATAGATGTGATGTGATGTGATTAATTTTGCTGGAAGG